CCGTGCATCGAGCCAAAAAACGAGCCGGACTATCGACTTACAAGAAGGTAGTGACTCCAAATCGCGATGATAAACAAAATACGACGGCCAAAGCGCGATCCCGGAGGCTGTACACGACGATGCTGACGAAGTTTGACTGCGTGGTAATGGACGACGAAACCTACGTCAAAGCCGACTACAAGCAGCTTCCGGGAGAGGAGTTTTATACGGCAAAAGGAAGGGGAAAGGTAGCAGATGTTTTCAAGCACATGAAACTGTCAAAGTTCGCAAAGAAATATCTGGTTTGGCAAGCCATCTGTACCTGTGGATTGAAAAGCAGCATTTTCATAGCTTCCGGGACTGTCAACCAAGAAATTTACGTGAAAGAGTGTTTGAATAAACGTCTGCTGCCTTTCCTGAAGAAAAACGGTTGTTCCGTACTGTTTTGGCCGGATTTGGCATCTTGCCATTACGGTAAAAAGGCCATGGAGTGGTACGCCGCCAACAACGTGCAGGTGGTTCCCAAGGACAAGAACCCTCCCAACACGCCAGAGCTCCGCCCAATTGAGAAATACTGGGCTATTGTCAAGCGGAACCTAAAGAAGACCAAAAAAACTGCTAAGGGCGAGCAGCAGTTCAAGGCAAACTGGCTTTCTGCGGCGAAGAAGGTGGACAAGGTGGCTGTACAAAATCTGATGGCAGGGGTCAAGCGTAAGGCCCGGCAATTCGGATTTGGAAAAGCGGAAGCCTAACTGAATATTTTTCCTGAATTTTATACTAATTGAACTTGAAAAAGAAATTTAATTTGATTTTTTAAATAAACGATTTCACCGATTTACACGCGTTTTCCCTTGACCAAATTTTGACCGTATCACCCTTTAGGTCATCTTTTAAAAACTTCCTCTTTATTCGAGAGTTGCGCCAAACCTTTCGAATGGCGACGGACTTCATGGCGCCTCCAGAAAGCATGTACAATATAATATAGCTCACTATAAGTTGAGCTTTTATGGCGAAGTTGTAGCCTAGACACAGTAAATATGGCAAAGTTGTAAAATCGACACAGTAATGGTCTGATTTTATTTACACGGTTGAAATATTTCATTTCTTAGCAAACTTGACATAAGAAGGATTTAATTGTTAATTAAATTAGATTTCGACGAAATACTATTTCCAAATAAACGTAAAACGTTACAAAGTGTTCTGAACTTATATGACCACGATACAAAAGAGCATGATCACCTGAACAACTTTGCTCGAGAAAGTAACCAGGATTTTGAGATACAGCTTATACAGGAAGCTCATGTGCACACTAGCGCTGCGTAGTGAGAGAGTTCTGAACTAATATGACCACCATCCGAAAGGACTTGGTCACTTGAACAACTTTGCTGATAACAGAAACTTTTTGTATGGCCAGGATCACGAAATATTCTATGTTGGTTCTAAGATCCATATATTATAGCACCCGTCATAAGTAACATAAAAGTGAAGCGCCTCTAGCGGTGCAGTTCGCAATTAAACCTGAATCCAATGACACATGCTTGTTGGTCTATCCCAGTACAACAACTTTGTCGAAGATAGTATAGCTTTATATATTGAAACAAATGAGATAATCCACCACAGCTCCCATTAATGAAAATCACATAAGCTGTGGGTATCCTTATTCGCGGTTCCTTATTCACGCCTCCGTTACCCCGGCAATAAGGATTCCTGACTTTATATAGAAGGGAAACGTTATATGGTGAAGGTCTTGCGGAGGAAGGAATGAAAACGGGTGGGCAGTTATCCGACAAAGTTTTTGCGGAAGTGATTACAAACTTTCTGGATTGATTCAATACTTTCCGGAGTGATTCCAAACTTTTCTGAAGTGATTCAGTACTTTCGAAGTGATTGCAAACATTCCTGAAGTTAGTTAGTATTTTTCGAAGTGATTCCAAACATTTCTGACGTGATTCATTGCATTCAAAGTGATTCAATTATTTTCGAAACGATTCATTTCTTGCAGAAATGATTACAAACTTTTCACAATGATTCAGTACAGAACGGTGCTTATTAAATTGCCGTGGGTAGTGGTGTTCAATCGGTCGTCATCAGCAGCAGTAGCAAATCAGTGCTTTCGGTGCATGGCGTTGAACATTGTGCTCCAGTACACACGGAGAGCCTGCCCGCAAGCAGCGAGAAGCAGCCCACATGAGTCTGTTCACCTAAGATGGAGGAAGAAGCCGCACCGCTGCTGATCGGATTCAGTAGCTCTTCATGAATCGCTGTTGGTCATCTTTACCAAGCGCGTCACCATCATTCCAAACAACATATCAATTTTCGCTTTTTTATTATTTATTTAATAATCATCGAAAATGCAAAATGAGAAAAGTGGTTTCCCTAACACAGTCGCCGAATATTGATACCGAGTGCAAAGGCCTCAAATTCCTCGATCTGGTGACAGCGGAGACTAAACCGCTATTTTCAAGTGTTGGAACGCCAAAATTTAGACTGGCAGTAAGTGTTAATTATCAAAAAAAAAAAAAAAAAGAAACCGAAAAGTGACATTGATTAAATTACAAAAAAGAAAAAAAGTGAACTAGTGATTGAACTAGTGGTTAATATAAATAACATTGGTGCACTTCGGGTCAACTATAAAGATATGGGGACTTCATCTGGGAAGTTCATCGCAGACTCAACAAGGAATGATCCTGATCCTGCTCCTGATAGGGTGAGTACACAGTTAAAAAAAATGTGTAAGGTTCTATTCTAGATACACATAAATGGAGCGTCTCATATCATACAAGTGAACATTATAAATTGATTAAAGTTCTGATACATTTCATACAATATTATAAATATTGTACATTTCATCTTTGTAAGCAATATTTCTTGCAAGATGCTGGATTGCGTGATATGAAATATAAGTTTCACTCATCAATGTTTACATCACAAGTAAAATTCAGATTTTTTTGCGGTGTAATTATTATCCTTTTCTTAATCAACAACTTTAAGGGAACGTTAAATTAATTTAAACAAATTCAAAAGGCCAACAGGCAAATTCGTTTAACAAAGCACAAAACATGAAAAAAAAATTTCATTTTGTTAATCTTGAATTTACGCTGAAAGCGTTTTTGATCCAATTAAATTCGCGTAAAGGCAAGATAATACCAATATCCATAAATTAATAAGGGACTGAGAAACAGTCGCATTTTTACTCGATTGCTTCGAAAAACAAACAAAAATGGCAGAGTTCTCAACTGAAAGAGCTATTCAATGCATTCCAGAGTTCAGAGGCGCGGCCTCAGAATTACCATCGTTTCTATACCAGTGTGATTTCTTCGCTAAGAAATTGCCAGTAGAAGAATCGCATGAACCTTTAATTCAGGTAATTTTGATGAAATTGAAGGATCCGGCATCAGGGTATTTCAAACGCATTTATGCGGAAACATGGGTCGAAGTGAGAACCAATCTCGAAAGAGAATTTGGGACAAATGTTAAACTGGAAGAAGTTTTTCAGAAAATCGAAACTTTAGAGCAAGGACCAAACGAATCCTTTCAAAATTACAAAGATAAGGCATTAACATTAAAAGAACACGTGGATGAATATGAAGAAAATAATGCCAAAGGCAGAGAGTCATATGCACTACGGAGTTTGAGGATACATTTTTTGGGAGGTTTGAAAAATAGGAACTTGAAAAATATGGCAAAATCACAGAAAAATAACAACTTCAATGAACTAGTCAAATATTTACAGGAAGTGTGTATCGACGAAGAACAAATTGAGGATATCGAAAAAAGACTTCAGTGTATTCACATTGTTGAAAAATCAAAATCACAAAGGAACCGAAATGATTGGGATAATCATGTCAATCAACCCAAATATTTTAACCAGTATCAACGAAACCATCAACAAAACAATTGACCACTTTGTCAAGCAGTTTTGGCTTGACTTTCTATCAGCGATTTCACAAAACTTGACCAACTAATTTCTATTTTTTTATGAAACGCACAAATTTTGGCTACTTTTCTCGAGGTTCTAGAAGAAAAAATCTCAAAATAATGTTTTATTTAAAGGTCGAGTGGTAGTAAATGTCATTTTAACTGCTCGAATGAAGTGGTTAATTCGTTTGATAGAAAATTCAGACCTCATAGAAATTTTCCGAATAATTCCGTTAGGACTAATCAAAGGCCGTTCAATGGAAATCAAAATGGTTACAGGGGCACGAGTTACGAATACCAAGAAAGTAATAATTTTAGCAGAAATATGAATAACAATAATTCACCGAATAGGTCAGACAATTACAACAGGAATAATAACGGAAACTACAACAGAAATTACCAAGCTGAATACAGCAATAGATACAATGACGAAAACCGCAGAGAGAATTTCAGTATCAGAGATAATTTCAACACAAGAAAAAAAAAAAAACTAAAATTCAGGAATCCTGGAAAGACACATGTTACAAATTCCCAATGTTTTCACGCTGGTATAAAATTTGACCCAATCATTACAACAAAGCATAAATATCCAATGTTCGGCGGAAATAACGGGGATTTCTACTGGTATATGTGAACAGCAGAAAACCCGGAGTTCTTTTGCAGATACTATTTTAACACAAGTAAAACCGAAAATGTTATGCATAAAAGCATAGCATTGAAAGTGGGAGCAAAAATGATAAACCCACTTAGTGTGGCATATACAGAGATAGACGGAGAAGAAGAAGAATCATTTGGAGACATTTGGGTCAATTTAAAAATAGGCAGAAGTAACATACCAATAAAATTTAACTTAGTTCATAATTTAGCTGTACCAGCCACGATAGGCACAGCATTCGCAAGAGATCATATCGAAAGTATAGGTGGGAGCTTCAGATTTACAATCTTCAAAAGCTTCTCTCATCGTATAAATAAAGAATATATTGATTATATACGTAGAGAAAGTAGTGTAAAAGATATTAAACGATATGTGGAAATTGAACCATACGTTTTTTTTAAAAGGACATAGTAGGAATTACAGCGGATGAGAATATAATTGAGAGAAATAAGGAGCTTTCAAGTAAAAATAGTCATGAAATAGAATTCAATTTTCATGCACTAATGGGGAAACAAAATAAAAATAAGCAATATAATAACAACGAATCAACCCTTTATAATATAATATCAAATAAAATAGCACTTAAAAAAATCTATTCTAGAGATAACTTATTTTTTGTCGAGATATCTACAACTAATAACCCTGCATATAGACTGAGATGTTTACTCGATACAGGTTCATCAGTAAATCTGCTCAGATATGAAGCAGTCAAATCGCTAAGAATAGACCAAGTAAATACAAATGATACTATAACAATAGCAGGAATTGGTAGAAATACAAAAACAATGGGATCAGTTAATATAGGTTTAATCATAGGAAACATAGTATTCCCAGCAAAATTTCATTTAATGACACATTTATTAGTACCATGTATACTCGGAGGAGACTTCCTTCAAAAACAGGTAGCACAAATTGGAAGAAATTGTGAATATGCTATTTTTGAGCTTGATACTTGCAAGAAAAACTATAAAGAAGACGAGTGTAAAGAATTTACACAAGTCCATACATTTGTGGTGCGCTATACTTTACAGTCACACTGGCAACACTGTATTCAACGACGCCACCTAGATTTAAAAAGAGAGAACCATTATTGACTTGCTCTAACAAGTTCAGTTTCCATTTTGTATTTGCGTTGTTAACTCATGAATAAAATCCACTTCAGTATTTCAACCATTAATCCTTCGACGTTTAATTTCGTATGTCGATTTTTGTCGATTTTTTCTTATCGTTTCATTCCGACTGCATCCGGACTGCCACACATCGAAACTTCGCCAAGGCGCCCATTAGCAGCACACAAAAGATGTCGAATGAACAACTCCTGAAAAATGAAATTATCCGTCTACAAGAAGAGTTGCAAGCAGCACAAGCAACCGCTGCAAACAATGCTGCTGCTACGAGCAACGCTGCCGGCAGTGCAATTGCAGTAAACAAACTCGGCATCAAAATTGAACCTTTCTGGAAGCGTGATCCGACTCTATGGTTTGCGCAGCTCGAAGCACAATTTACGCTAGCCGGAATAACTCGAGAAGATACTCGCTATTACCACGTTCTGGCAGCCATCGACTCGGAGATCCTCGCATGCTGTTCGGACATTATTCGTGACCCTCCAGCTGATGCCAAGTATACTAAAATTAAGGAAAGAATTACCCAGGAATATAGCACAAGTGAACAAAATCGCATGCAGCAGCTACTACGCGGCTGCGAGCTGGGTGATCGCAAACCATCGCAGCTTCTACGCGAAATGAGGGATCTTGCCAGGGACGTTATCACCGACGAAAAAATTATCAAATCGCTATGGATGCAGCAACTTCCCGAAACCACGCAAGCCGTTCTTAAAGTGTCAGAAGCCACACTTCAAATGTCGCAGCTTGCCGAGCAAGCCGACAAGCTCGCAGACATCACCAGGAGTCAAATCGTTTCTTCCGCTACAGTTTCACCGGACAGAAGCAAAGAGATTGGCTTGGCAGAACTACGTACACACATTTCCGAACTCTCAAACGAGCTAGCCGCTTTCCGTCGAGAGAGAAGCAGACCTCGTAACAGGAGTTTCAGCAGACAGCAGAGTTCCCCAAGCGGCTCCCGAGAGTACCATCCGTATTATTTCTACCACAGAAAGTTCGGATCCAATGCTAAGAATTGTCGAGAGCCTTGTCAGTTCAAATCAAAAAACTAGCGCAGCTACAAACGACGACGGGCGAATGTGGCGAAGTTGGTCAATCCCGTCTAACAATTCACGATTCGGCCACTAACTACAAGTTTTTGATTGATACCGGCGCAGACTTATCGGTTCTGTCATGTTCACCGTGCCAGAAACTTAAACCGACTCCAAGAATGGGGTTGTACGCAGCCAACGGTTCCCGCATCGCGACTTACGGCACCGAAATTTGCAGGCCAACTTTCGATCTACGCAGGAATTTCCCATGGCGGTTCATACTGGCTGATGTAACGACCCCAATACTAGGTGCGAATTTTCTGAAACACTATGGCCTGATAGTGGACTTGCGGGGTGAGTGCCTAATAGATAAAATGACAAATATAAAAGCACGCGGTCAAATCAATTTGATCGCAGAAGGGCTATTTGGCTTGAATGCTTTTTCCGGCAGCAACGACTATGGCGGCTTATTAAGCGAATACTCTGACGTCACTAGACCTCGCCTTCCAAATCAAGAGGTTAAACACAACGTTAAGCACACTATCAAGGTCGAAGGCCCTCCATGTAATTCTAAATTCCGCAGACTTCCACCGCATAAGCTCGAAGCGCTTCGTAAGGAGTTAAAGTTGTTCTTAGAGCTCGGATACATAAAACCTTCGAAAAGTCCGTATTCAAGTCCAGTGCATCTAGCTACTAAGACACTGCAGAACGGTGACATCAAGTACAGACTCGTAGGCGATTACAAGAATCTTAATGACTCAACCATCGAAGACCGGTATCCTTGACCAACTGCAGTCTTAATAGGCTAGCATATCGGTTGGGCTCTCCATGCGATACACAATACTAACAGACGACTCGAGCTATGATGCTCACTAGGTCACTGCAGCTTTTAGGCTCGTATTGTGATCAACTGTTTATTAGATTTCGACCATATATATGTGATAAATCATGTAAATGTAAATGGAATACAATAATGTCCCGATTTTGTCAGTCTCCTTTTTTGAAAATGTTTTCCAATGTTCTACAAAACCCATGCCCTTTTCCAGTAATCTTCTTGAACCTATTGCACCAAAGTATACTTTAAATATCCCTCTTAACGAATGACGAATGAGAAAAATTTAGATTTATGATTTTGTGAAATTATTGAAAGAAAAAAATCTGAAGCGCGGAGGGGCTGACAAAATCGGGTCATTACTGTATTTAAAATAAATAAATTCATTCTTACCTTTTTATGGTTGTTTGATTATTAATTGCTATTATTAGGGCCTGTTCATAAACTACGTAGACAGTTTTTTGGGATTCTTGATCCCCCCCTCCCCCTGCGTAGACAATTTTCCATACAAAAATTTTTAAATTTGTATGGGCCGTGGATAATTGTCAACCCCCCCCCCCTAAACTGTCTACGTAGTTTATGGACAGCCCCTTACCTGCTTAGAGTTGGCTCCTTTAAAATACTGTGTAGAATTTACCTCATTATTCCTCAGCTCTCTCGATTTGCGTTCCTGCGTGGTTTGTGTGATAGAACCACGCTCAACATATTATCCTGTAGTACGACTTGGGCATGCACCATACAAGTAACTCATCTCTCGTCAAAATGATGGGATATGGGGTGATGGTGAAGGGATATAGAAAACGAATAAAAGAACAGAGAGAAAGGTATTAGTATTGGTTACATTAACATAGATGCACAGACAAACAGAAATAACACATTTAATATTTCTCTCCACAAAACATAGTCACTAAAACACTACCGCCATCTGTTGAGTATCATGTGATGGATAGTACGCTGAACAGATGGCGCTAGTGTGCAGACGTCAAACGCAAGGGAACCAACCGTGCGCGCCACAGATGGTGGTGCCAACCAAAAACACTCAAATTGACCGTCAAATGCGTATTCGATGAACAACCTGCGAGTGTTATGTATGTTTGTCTGTGATAGATGGGTTAGTAGGAAAGTACAACTACATTATAACTATTAGTGCAATGGATGAACGTTAGTTTCGGGGTCATGTTAGTGTTAGAGTTTTGTTAGTATTGACCCGTATTGAGCCCTGTCGGTCCCTCGAACACTAGTCGCAGGCAGTTGTTGTTAAGACATGCGACACTGTCACTGCTACTATGTTAGAGGTAAGACCCGTTAAGTTTCGAAGTGCAAAAAAAAACTGTTAGAACTTTCTTATAAATTAACTTTACACTCAAAGCAAACTATTTACCTTAGCATTACAAAAGCGAATTTAAAATAACTATTATAATTATGTTAAAACTACAATTTACGGCTCCGTGAAATTAACTCGCATGAACCTTTCAAATCAATGAACTGGAGAAAAACTACAATTTTAACAAATTGCAAATAAAAAAATAATAGCGACACTTGACAAATCATCATCAAGCCCCTCATCCTTGGACAGGGGGTATCCTTTACCACATATTTACGATATTTGTCAAACGCTACGAGGTAAGACTGTATTTTCTGTGATTGACCTTGAACGCGCGTACTATCAAATTCCTATGCACGAGAATGATGTCGGAAAAACAGCCATCATCACGCCACTGGGCTTGTATGAATTTCTAGTGATGCCGCCAGGATTAAAAAACTCAGGTCAAACATTTCAAAGATTTATCAACAATATTTTCTTTGACATGCCATTCTTAGTGGGATATCTAGATGATCTGCTTATCGCTTCATCATCCGAAGAGGAGCATGAGGAACACCTATGATTGGTTTTCGAAAAACTGATAGAAAATGGGCTTCAGATCAATGCTGACAAGTGTCAGTTAGGGAAAGAAAAAGTACGATTCGTGGGACAACTAATCACTGCCGCTGGCTGTACAACGGTTCCGGAAAAGGTTTCTGCAGTTGCAGAATACCCTAAGCCGGATACGGTGCAAAAGCTAAGGCGCTTCCTAGCCTTAGTAAATTACCATCGGCGATTTCTTCCACACGCCGCTGAAGCTCAATTACCCTTGCGCAAGCTAATAACCGATAAAACACCGATCATATGGAACTCCGAAGCTGATGCTGCCTTCCAAGAATGTAAACGGTCTCTGACAGAGGCCACAGCGCTCGATTACTATGACCCGAATGCTCAGCTGTCACTGATGGTTGAGCCGGAGCCGTGTTGCAGCAACGATCGCAAGACACCTTGAAGCCGTTAGGTTATTTTTCTGTTAAATTTAGTGACCGTGAACGACGATACTCAACCTACGATAGGGAGCTGCTTGCAGTTTATCTCGGCGTTAAACACTTCAAAGACGTAATTGAAGGGCGCGATACGATAATCTTCACGGATCATAAACCACTAACGTTCGCATTTAAACAAGATGCAAACAAACCATCGCCAAGGCAGCAGCGGTTGCTGAGTTTTATTAGTGAATATACGACGGACTTGGTTCATGTCGCCGGCGCTGAAAATGTCCCTGCAGACGTCCTCTCAAGAATAGAAGCAATTTGCTTACCGTCTACAATCGACCACAGTGATTTTGTTAAGAAACAGGAAAACCCCTTCAGTAGATGGCCGGAGGCAGTTGGCTATCCCCGATATGACTGCAGAAACCGTCGCCAGAGTTTTCATCGAGGTGTGGGTGTCGAGATTCGGAACCCCAACGAAGCTGACGTCGGATCAAGGTCGACAGTTCGAGTTGCACCTAATGAAAGAGTTGTGCGTCTTATTGGGATTAGAACGAGTTCACACCACGCCATACCATCCACAAGCCAACGGGATGATTGAGTAGTAAGCAGTAAGACATTTACCATTATATTAAGGACAAAACAGTGTCAGTATCGATCGATAGAGTTAAACCAGCCTACATTAACAAGGATTCAGATTCCTCATCTGATCGGATAACCAAAAGCGGGCATCACGTGCGTTTTCGGATTCAGTAGGAATTTTTCTAGGAAGGGGGAGTTATTGTGGTGCGCTATACTTTACAGTCACGCTGGCAACACTGTATTCAACGACCCACCTAGATGTAAAAAATGAGAACCATTATTGACTTGCTCTAACAAGTTCAGTTTCCATTTTGTATTTGCGTTGTTAACTCATGAATAAAATCCACTTCAGTATTTCAACCATTAATTCTTCGACGTTTAATTTCGTATATCTTACATTCAATGGAATGGAAATAGATTGGAAAAAGATTTTTATCATGAAGAATATAATGAAGAAGGAAGTGAATATGACGACAGAGAAATGTTGGACTTAAATGCTGACATAGACTACGATATTGTCAAATACAAAAATATTAAAATGCTTCAAGGACACGAACGATATAATAAAATCTTCGAACAGATCAAACTTGATCATTTATCACGAAGCGATTCAGAATCAATTGAATCAATTTTAAGTAATTTTAGTGATGTGTTTTTTCTTGAGGGTGATAAACAAACCCACACAGATGCGGCAGTGCACGAAATAGAAACTTCAACGAACGTACCCATTAATAAACGGCAATACAGGTTCCCAGAAGCAACAAAAAAGCAAATTAATGAAGAAATCGAAGAAATGTATAGACAAGGTATCATCAAACCAAGTAAAAGCCCATGGAATGCACCAGTCTTGTGTATACCAAAGAAGGACTTGATTGCAGCTGGAAATAAGAAATATTGAATTGTAGTGGACTTATGGGGTTTAAATTTGATAACTAAGCCTTTTGTATATCCAATTCCACTCATCAATGAAATCATGGATAATCTTGGAGATAGTGTAAATTTTTCAACATTGGATTTAAAATCAGGATTTTATCAAATCCCAATCGATCCAAAAGATGCCGCTAAAACAGCCTTCTCAACCTCAAAAGGACACTTTGAATTTACAAGAATGCCTATGGGATTAAGGAATAGCCCATCGACTTTTCAAAAATTAATGAATACGGTACTATACGAGATCGGACATGTTCGAGCCGTTGTTTATTTGGATGATGTCATCATTTCAGGAAGAACAATCGAAGAACATAATGAAAACTTATATAAAGTGTTGCAAGGACTACACAGACATATTTTAAAATTGAAACCGGTAAAAAGCAAAATTTTGAAAACAGAAATCAAATATCTTGTTCATATAATAAATCAATATGGTATTAAACCAACCAAAGAAAATGTAGAAAGTATACAAATGATGAAAAATCCATCTACAGTGAAAGATGTTCGGTCATTTTTAGGTACAATTAATTTTTATGGAAAATTCATTCCAAACATTGCAAAGTACAGGAAACTTTGAACGATTTATTGAAGAAGAATGTAAAATTTGTATGGACACGTGAATGTGAGGAAGCTTTTGAAATGCTTAAAACATGCCTCATATCTGAACCTTTGTTAGTAAGGCCTAATTATGAGGATACATTTGTCATCACCACAGATGCTAGCAATTACGCGATAGGAACGGTGTTATCTAATGAGAAAACTGTCGATAGACCGATCGCCTTTGCAAGCAGAGCAGAAAGCAGAAAGTAGATATCACACAATCGAGAAAGAATTATTAGCGATCGTTTGGGCGGTTGACTATTTTAGACATTTTATATTTGATCAAAAATTCATTGTTTACACAGATCACAGGCCTCTAATTTCAATTTGGCGGTTAAAGGAAACGTCGCCCACATTAACAAGACTGCGACTTAAGCTGCAAGGTCGTAAATGTGATATACGCTACAAACAAGGGAAAGAGAACATTGTAGCAGACTTTTTGTCAAGGCTACCATGCACGCAGGAAAACAAAAACATCAACCAGATTCAACCAACAAGTTATTGTCAGGGGCAATCAAGGTTACAACGTTGTAAGGTTGAAAAAGGTAACGTAAACATTAAGAATCAACAACAACATACGTCGGTAGAACAAGAGCAGGTAGTTGCAGTCGTTACGCGACAGCAACAAAGAATGCAGGGCAGACAACCCGAACAAAAATAAACAACAAGCGATTTGAGAACTGACCAACTTCAAAACGACTCAGTTTTTAATGAATTAGTAAACATGGATATAAGTGACAATGAAAACACCACAAAGAAAGATGATAACCACAATTTATACAATGATTTCAAAGCAAGCGTAGAACAATCATTAGTAAACACAGATGAACTTACGATTTCAAGGCAATTAACTAATGACTCAGCAGGCGCTACATTAGTTATATTAAATAGTAGATCAGCCTACAAGGAAATTTCAACTCTGTGTTATTTATTACATGGATTGAAGGATTATGAAAAGAATGGAATTATAAATATACCAAACAAAAAGATTGCAGGATTGATTATCGAGGGGAAAAATAACTCTTTGCTCAATGGTAAAAGTTTCCTAAAGAAACTCAATATGAGCTTTATAGAAGGTCCTGACTATATAAAGCAAGCAAAACATGTCCATGTCACGTCATGTCATTTCGCAAAATAAAACAGTTTGAAGTATTACAAATGATACAATACATATCACTGAAATTTGATTAGAAAATTTCTTTGTACAATGCAGACCTGAACTTATCCAAATAGAGGGTGAAGAAATCGAAACAATTTTACGAGAATTTCATGACGCACCCCTAGGGGGACATGTAGGAGCAGTAATGGAAATTCCTAGTGAACAAACCGTGGTAATACAGAATGGGAAGAAATTAGAAAAAAATCCACGTCAATCGTATAAAGCGATACAATGATTAATCATCAAGTACGCGGAACAAATTCGTCAGTACAGATAAAGATTCCTATAATCAAAATAAGTATTTATTTATCGATTATTATGTACATAACATTTATATAATAATTAAGAATAGAGAGACACACATATTAAAATGACAATTAAAATTTGGAGGCACATGGGAGATGGCTATGAAAATGGAAAGAATACTGCGAGCAAATAATAAAAATATTGGTGAAGTGAAAAAAAAGAAGTTATAAACTGTAGCTAATGTATAATAGGGATACATGGAATGTTTGTGAGAGAAAGCGTTAGACAAGGAAAGACGTTCCCGGAACGAATGATGTATATGGTGATGATTAAATTGAATAGTAATATAAATAAATAATAAGTATAAAAAAAATCGAATGGATATTATTGACTAAATGATAATGACCCCGGGGTATATATATGAAATTAAGTATTGTTATTTGAAAATGAATATATGGAATTACCAGAATGAAAAGAGACAATTGAAAATTGTAAAGAAAAAAGTATACATTAAATATCAATTGGGATTAATAAGAGATTGAACAAAATGTTCAAAACATACAAATATGGAGATGGGAACATAAAAGCGAAGCTTCAGGTAAAGTTTCAAGAAAATGAAAACAAAGGTATAAACATATATAGTTAATAATAGTAAACAGTATTTTCTAATATAATTAGTGATGAAAACATTTAAAAGAGATACAAAAAAAAAATTCGACCTGTATGTAATGCATGCAGTGATGGCGTATACCTTACGCTGAAACTGGCAACACGTATTCGCAGAGCGACAACCACGCAGTGTGACAACCGTCGAGAATAAAGTCGAAAGTGAAACGAGAGCGTTTTGTAACAGGAACAGAAAATACATTTTTATTAGTTGATTGACTGCGTAACAGTACACATCCTGTGTTTTTTATTTCAAGAGGTTATGGACCCAGCAAAGTAAAACTGCGAACATTTGTGTGCTAATGTGTGGTTAAAATGGAGCGCCTAGGAATTCCGAAGCTAAACAACCAGAACTATGGCAGCTGGAAATTCACTGTCGAGCTGCTGCTGGTAAGGGAAGACCTGTGGAAATATGTGAACCCAGGAGATTCACCAGCAGCGATTGTTGCGACGAGTGATCGTCCCGGGAATGCTGCGGAAGTTGCTGCTTGGAAAGCGGGAGACCAAAAGGCAAGAGCGACGATCGGATTGTTGGTGGAAGAGACCCAGCATGCACTCATCCGGAACACCACGTCAGCGAAAAGTGCGTGGGAGAATTTGCAGAAACATCACGAAAAAGTTACGCTGTCAGCAAAAGTAGGCATTTTCTATCGGCTGTGTGATATGCGCTACACTGACGGGGAAAACATTGAGCAGCATCTGTACGATATGGAGCAGTTGTTCGAAAAGTTGACCAAAGCTGGAACAAATCTAGGCAGAGAGCTGGAAGTTATGATGGTCCTGCGCAGTCTCCCAAAGTCCTTCAGTACCCTGACGACGGCTTTGGATTGCCGGAAGGAGGAGGAAATCACGCTGGAATTGGTGAAGCAAAAAGTGATGAATGAAGTGTTGAAGCGTAGAGGATACGAACAAAGTGAGAAAGCGTTGAAAGTGTATGAGAAAACGCAGAAGAAGAAAAGTGTGGTGTGTCACAACTGCCAGAGAGTTGGACACAAGAAGAAAGATTGTCGAGTGAAACCGAAACTAGACGAAGATGTTCGGGACGATTCGAGGTTATCCAGGAATGCACGGGCCAAAGTGGCAACACACGCGGAAGAAGAAGAAGCTTTCGCGTTCGCGATCGGTGACTCGACTAGTGAATGGACAATCGATTCTGGTTCGTCGTGGCACATTTGTGCAAATCGTGACTTTTTCGAAACCGTGAAGAAAAGAAGATTGGAAACACCTAGTGTTGTGGTGGTGGCTGACGGCCGCAAGTGTCCGGTGGAAGGCGAAGGAACGTGCCGGATCTCTTGCCTCGTTGAGGGCCAAGGTACAAAGCAAGTGTTGCTGACTCAGGTGCTTTACGTTCCAGAGATGAAGGCCAATTTGATATCCGTTGGTTGCTTGATCAGGAAGGGAGCTGAGGTGAGTTTTTCTGCTTCTGGTTGTACTATCTCTCGCGAAGGGTGAACAGCAGGCGAGGCTGTGCTTGTCGGTGGCTTGTATTTACTGAGACTGATGAGCAAGCCAACAGTGGCGGTAGCGAAGAGCCACAACCCGTTGTGCATCCATGAATGGCACCGAAGATTGGGACACCGTGACCCAGAGGCCATACTGGAAATGGAGAGAAGAGGATTAGCGAAAGGTATCCGTATCCAACCTTGTGGTATCCGTGCGGTGTGTGAGTGCTGCTTGAAGGGGAAGATGGCGAGACTTGCGTTTCCCAAACAGGCAGAGCAAAAGTCGACCGCAGTGCTTGATATCATCCACAGCGACGTGTGTGGGCCTATGAATACTCCAACGCCGGGAGGGTGCCGTTATTTCGTATCATTTGTAGATGATTTCAGTCGCTACAGCTGGATTTTTTTTCCTT